GGAAGTAGGGTTTTTTTGTTTTTGTTTTTTCCCCTTCAAATGTGATTTGTGTTTTTATATGACAAATCTAAATTCCCAGTCATTTCAGGCCACTTGTATTTTGAATTTATTTTTAATGTAGACCAAAAGGGTCACAATAAATGGGCAGTGTAAAAAAAATGTACTCGCCATTTTCGTAAATGTTTTAAATGAAAAGTAACATCACCGAAATGTTTGTAAAAATGTTGTATGGCTTTATCATCTGTACCACCTTAAATATATCATGAAACCATTGATTCATAACCATCAAGGTCATTTCAAAATTGAAATCTATTCCAAAAATTAAATTGACATTACCAACATGAGACCATTAAAATTACCAGCCTTAGGTAATTTGCAACATAACCCTTTAGCACTTCAACATGACCATCTTCGTCCTATCAACATGACCATCTTCACCCTATCAACATGACCATCTTCACCCTATCAACATGACCATCTTCATCCTATCAACATGACCATCAACATGACCATCTTTGGCCTATCATCGAAACCACACCCTCAGTGAAAGGAGCAGTTTCCATTATAATACATTCTCTGGACATTGTTTTGTGCTTGTGAAATTAACTTTTTTAAGAACACTATTTGTTTCATGGACCATGGTTAGCTACAAATCAATATTTTAAAAAAATAAGGCTGAAACAATTGTTATCAATTAATTCAATCAACTTCCTTGGAAATATGTTAATTGAAATTTTAAGATAACATTTAATAAATCTTCTTTTGACAGTTAGAGTTTTGTTAATGTTTGTGTGAATATAATGATGAAATGAGATAATAATTAATTGAATAAGACAATAATTGATTGAATAAGAAAATAATTGATTGAATGAGATAATAGATTCAAATAGTCAATTCAAATTTTAATAATTCGATTTGTATGTGTCTGAAAATAATTGCCTAGCCAGACAACCACATATAGTATATATTTAAAAAAATGTGCCCTTTAAATAGGCCCTGACCACTTTCAACGCCACAGTAAAACATGGTTTGTTGGTAAGAGAGCCAACCTCATAAACAGAGGAGACAAGTGCCCTCACGGTCCAACCTCATAAACAGGGGAGACAAGTGCCCTCACGGTCCGGGGGTCCGGATGGATCGTGAGTTCACTCTTTGCATGTCATTAAACCTAATAAGGAAAATAAATAAAAAATGTCCGCATTTATTTTTATGCATATAATTATCAGATGATAGAACATCTCCTCATATAATTATCAGATGATAGAACATCTCCTCATATAATTATCAGATGATAGAACATCTCCTCATATAAATATCAGATGATAGAACATCTCCTCATATAACTATCAGAAGATAAAACATCTCCTCATATAACTATCAGAAGATAGAACATCTCCTCATATAAATATCAGATGATAGGACATCTCCTCATATAACTATCAGAAGATAGAACATCACCTCATATAATTATCAGAAGATAGAACATCTCCTCATATAACTATCAGAAGATAGAACATCTCCTCATATAATTATCAGAAGATAGAACATCTCCTCATATAATTATCAGAAGATAGAACATCTCCTCATATAATTATCAGAAGATAGAACATCTCCTCATATAATTATCAGAAGATAGAACATCTCCTCATATAATTATCAGAAGATAGAACATCTCCTCATATAATTATCAGAAGATAGAACATCTCCTCATATAATTATCAGAAGATAGAACATCTCCTCATATAATTATCAGATGATAGAACATCTCCTCATATAATTATCAGATGATAGAACATCTCCTCATATAATTATCAGATGATAGAACATCTCCTCATATAACTATCAGAAGATAGAACATCTCCTCATATAATTATCAGAAGATAGAATATCTCCTCATATAATTATCAGAAGATAGAACATCTCGTCATATAATTATCAGATGATAGAACATCTCCTCATATAATTATCAGAAGATAGAACATCTCCTCATATAATTATCAGATGATAGAACATCTCCTCATATAATTATCAGATGATAGAACATCTCCTCATATAATTATCAGATGATAGAACATCTCCTCATATAATTATCAGATGATAGAACATCTCCTCATATAACTATCAGAAGATAGAACATCTCCTCATATAATTATCAGATGATAGAACATCTCCTCATATAATTATCAGATGATAGAACATCTCCTCATATAATTATCAGATGATAGAACATCTCCTCATATAACTATCAGAAGATAGAACATCTCCTCATATAACTATCAGATGATAGAACATCTCCTCAAACAAATATCAGATGATAGAACATCTCCTCATATAACTATCAGATGATAGAACATCTCCTCATATAACTATCAGATGATAGAACATCTCCTCATATAACTATCAGATGATAGAACATCTCCTCATATAACTATCAGAAGATAGAACATCTCCTCATATAACTATCAGATGATAGAACATCTCCTCATATAACTATCAGATGATAGAACATCTCCTCATATAACTATCAGATGATAGAACATCTCCTCATACAACTATCAGATGATAGAACATCTCCTCATATAACTATCAGATGATAGAACATCTCCTCATATAACTATCAGATGATAGAACATCTCCTCATATAACTATCAGAAGATAGAACATCTCCTCATATAACTATCAGATGTCTCCAGTGAAAGTCTGGAGTGGTTTGGGGAGGGTGTTGACTCCCTCACCGGAAAATGTTTTATGTTTTCAAAATGCAGGGTAGCTTATGGCAAACACCCTGAATTTTGGCTCCTCTCGACCTAGCCGTTACACTAAAACAGAGGAAATTTGGCTCCTCTCGACCTAGCCGTTACACTAAAACATTTGAAATTTGGCTCCTCTTGACCTAGACGTTACACTAATCAGAGGAAATTTGGCTCCTCATGACCTAGCCGTTAAACAGAGGAAATTTGGCTCCTCTTGACCTAGCCGTATTCATATAAATCCTTTAACTTTAAGAGTTATTTCAAAGTTATTGTGATTCCCCTGAGCTTGTGGGCGTGGTCAGGCTGTGGGTGACATATGAGGAGTTGGGGTGGGGATCATTTGATCCCCTGGGTTTGTGGGCGGGGTCAGGATGTGGGTTGCATGTGATGAGTTGGGATGGGGATCATTTGATCCCCTGGTCCCCTGGGTTTGTGATCGTGGTCTGGCTGTGGATGAAGTCGTCACCCAGCGTGGCCGGGTAAATCAAGTAGTTAAGTGTGTTCAACCTGGTGTGTTATTGTTTGTCTTCACCCAGTGTTGCCCAAAGTATTCCTTAGAAAAGTGTTTTATCCCTAGACTCTAGATAACAAACGAACCATGCACCTACTGCGTGAGTTTGGCAACGTTGAAATCCTCCTTAAAAGGAAGTTCGTTACAACTACATTGTTTTAAAAGTTTCATTGAAGATCTGAGATTACTCATTTGAACCTAATTGTTTTTTTAACATCTGTAAATATATTTTAAATGTGCGGTTAAACCAAGAAGGAAAGTAATGAAGTCATCGTTAATTTGTGGATAAAGGTTTAGAGTGATTTCCCTTGCCCATGCGGTCTGAAAGCCAAACATGTCGCCCTGTTTTATCGTGATTCCGTAGTCCACACCCCTTCCATGCCCCAACCCTGTAGGCAGTTCACTCCAACACAGAGGACGACATGGGACCAGCCCAGCTTCTCTGACTTGGCCAATGGGGGAAATGCTGGAGTTTGCTTTGGATCGCGATGTGTAGTGACTAATTTTCAAGATGGCGGAGCGCCGTGCTAAAAGCGGGAAAGACTACTTTCTGCTTATGCTTTTTACGATCGTCTCTTGGGATGTTACCCCTGACAAGGTAGGTGATCTCTCTTGGAATGTTACACCTGCCAAGGTAGGTGATCTCTCTTGGAATGTTACACCTGCCAAGGTAGGTGATCTCTCTTGGAATGTTACACCTTCTTCTCTATATTAAGGGCCAACGATCAATTTATTGATCATTTTGACAAGGTAGGTAATTTTTGCCTTTCACCTCAAGCGTTGTATAACTCTGAAGAACTATTCAGCTTTTCATTTATGCTGTAAGCCGTTGCAGACAACTGAACATAGTTGCAGACAACTGAACGTAGTTGCAGAGAATGGCTTTGATCAACAAATAGACTTTCCCACTAGAGAAGACACCATCTTAGATAGCGTCATGACAATGCATCGACTTCCCCACTAGAGAAGACACGATCTTAGATAGCGTCATGACAACGCATCGACTTCCCCACCAGAGAAGACACCATCTTAGATAGCGTCATGACAACGCATCCAACCTTTACAGTACGCTGCAAACCGTCCTACCGCCAATAGGAAAACGTGACCATGACATTGTATTGTATGACACACTTTTACGACCGTTCAAGCATAGGCCCCCAAAACCCAAGAGCTTCATGTGGAACAAGGTGGATGTGGGAACCGGGCCCCTAAAACCCAAGAGCTTCATGTGGAACAAGGTGGATGTGGGAACCGGGCCCCCAAAACCCAAGAGCTTCACGTGGAACAAGGTGGATGTGGGAACCGGACCCCCAAAACCCAAGAGCTTCACGTGGAACAAGGTGGATGTGGGAACCGGGACCCAAAAACCTAAGAGCTTCACGTGGAACAAGGTGGATGTGGGAAACTTTAAACAGGAACTAAGAATTGTATGCAGAGGAAATGAAAACCAACCCAACTTTCAGGTCAAACTTAGAGAGTTTCTGAAATAGCCTCAAAGACAAGAGAAGAAGACATCCGACGGGCCACAAGCTCAAGTTTGGAGGGTCGCCCCTGGTTGAAAACACGTTGCATTTTCGGAATATGCAAATGATTCCCTTTACAAAATGTCAGATGTTTTTGTAGTGCGATTAATGACCGGCATATGTGCCCCCCCCTGCCCCTACCTGCGGGCGCCCATGCCGGTATATGTCTCCAATATACCTTGATAGATTTTCAATCCACTGTTTGTTCTTGGTAGCACATTGGTCGCCTGGGAGTCCACATTGCCTGGCGGATAAAAGTAGGCCAAATAACACACAAGTCCGTCCTTGGGCCTCCGTAACGACACGCCGATGCCAACAACTCTGCTTCCTTTCCTTAGCAACTGGGACAAGTTGCCTGGTTAATAATATGTCATTAGGGTTAGGACAAGTTGCCTGGTTAATAATATGTCATTAGGGTTAGGACAAGTTGCCTGGTTAATAATATGTCATTAGGGTTAGGACAAGTTGCCTGGTTAATAATATGTCATTAGGGTTAGGACAAGTTGCCTGGTTAATAATATGTCATTAGGGTTAGGACAAGTTGCCTGGTTAATAATATGTCATTAGGGTTAGGACAAGTTGCCTGGTTAATAATATGTCATTAGGGTTAGGACAAGTTGCCTGGTTAATAATATGTCATTAGGGTTAGGACAAGATGTCTGGTTAATAATATGTCATTGGGGTTAGGACAAGTTGCCTGGTTAATAATATGTCATTAGGGTTAGGACAAGTTGCCTGGTTAATAATATGTCATTAGGGTTAGGACAAGTTGCCTGGTTAATAATATGTCATTAGGGTTAGGACAAGTTGCCTGGTTAATAATATGTCATTGGGGTTAGGACAAGTTGCCTGGTTAATAATATGTCATTGGGGTTAGGACAAGTTGCCTGGTTAATAATATGTCATTAGGGTTAGGACAAGTTGCCTGGTTAATAATATGTCATTGGGGTTAGGACAAGTTGCCTGGTTAATAATATGTCATTAGGGTTAGGACAAGTTGCCTGGTTAATAATATGTCATTAGGGTTAGGACAAGTTGCCTGGTTAATAATATGTCATTAGGGTTAGGACAAGATGTCTGGTTAATAATATGTCATTGGGGTTAGGACAAGTTGCCTGGTTAATAATATGTCATTAGGGTTAGGACAAGTTGCCTGGTTAATAATATGTCATTAGAGTTATAAAACCAAGTTATTTCATTTTATTTTGGATATTAAATTCAAAGTAATAGCAATGGAAGAGAAGTATAATGAGGCCCCAGGATGTTCTGTAAATGTTTGAAACTAGCAATGGAACAGAAGTTTAATCAGACCCTAGGAAGTTCTGTAAATGTTTGATACTACAAGCAAGGGAACAGAAGTATAATCAGGCCCCAGTAAATTTCTGTAAATTTTTGAAACTAGCAATGGAACAGAAGTATAATCATACACTAGGACGGTCTGTAAATTTTTGATGCTAGCAATGGAACAGAAGTATAATCATACACCAGGACGGTCTGTAAATGTTTGATGCTAGCAATGGAACAGAAGTATAATCATACACCAGGACGGTCTGTAAATGTTTGATGCTAGCAATGGAACAGAAGTATAATCATACACTAGGACGTTCTATAGATGTTTGATTCTAGCAATAGAACAGAAGTATAATCATAGACTGGGATGTTCTGTAAATGTTTGATGCTAGCAATGGAACAGAAGTATAATCATACACCGGGATGTTCTGTAAATGTTTGATTCTAGCAATAGAACAGAAGTATAATCATAGACTGGGATGTTCTGTAAATGTTTGATTCTAGCAATAGAACAGAAGTATAATCATAGACTGGGATGTTCTGTAAATGTTTGATTCTAGCAATAGAACAGAAGTATAATCATAGACTGGGATGTTCTGTAAATGTTTGATTCTAGCAATAGAACAGAAGTATAATCATAGACTGGGATGTTCTGTAAATGTTTGATTCTAGCAATAGAACAGAAGTATAATCATAGACTGGGATGTTCTGTAAATGTTTGATTCTAGCAATGGAACAGAAGTATAATCATAGACTGGGATGTTCTGTAAATGTTTGATTCTAGCAATAGAACAGAAGTATAATCATAGACTGGGATGTTCTGTAAATGTTTGATTCTAGCAATAGAACAGAAGTATAATCATAGACTGGGATGTTCTGTAAATGTTTGATTCTAGCAATAGAACAGAAGTATAATCATAGACTGGGATGTTCTGTAAATGTTTGATTCTAGCAATAGAACAGAAGTATAATCATAGACTGGGATGTTCTGTAAATGTTTGATTCTAGCAATAGAACAGAAGTATAATCATAGACTGGGATGTTCTGTAAATGTTTGATTCTAGCAATAGAACAGAAGTATAATCATAGACTGGGATGTTCTGTAAATGTTTGATTCTAGCAATAGAACAGAAGTATAATCATAGACTGGGATGTTCTGTAAATGTTTGATTCTAGCAATAGAACAGAAGTATAATCATAGACTGGGATGTTCTGTAAATGTTTGATTCTAGCAATAGAACAGAAGTATAATCATAGACTGGGATGTTCTGTAAATGTTTGATTCTAGCAATAGAACAGAAGTATAATCATAGACTGGGATGTTCTGTAAATGTTTGATTCTAGCAATAGAACAGAAGTATAATCATAGACTGGGATGTTCTGTAAATGTTTGATTCTAGCAATAGAACAGAAGTATAATCATAGACTGGGATGTTCTGTAAATGTTTGATTCTAGCAATAGAACAGAAGTATAATCATAGACTGGGATGTTCTGTAAATGTTTGATTCTAGCAATAGAACAGAAGTATAATCATAGACTGGGATGTTCTGTAAATGTTTGATTCTAGCAATAGAACAGAAGTATAATCATAGACTGGGATGTTCTGTAAATGTTTGATTCTAGCAATAGAACAGAAGTATAATCATAGACTGGGATGTTCTGTAAATGTTTGATTCTAGCAATAGAACAGAAGTATAATCATAGACTGGGATGTTCTGTAAATGTTTGATTCTAGCAATAGAACAGAAGTATAATCATAGACTGGGATGTTCTGTAAATGTTTGATTCTAGCAATAGAACAGAAGTATAATCATAGACTGGGATGTTCTGTAAATGTTTGATTCTAGCAATAGAACAGAAGTATAATCATAGACTGGGATGTTCTGTAAATGTTTGATTCTAGCAATAGAACAGAAGTATAATCATACACTGGGATGTTCTGTAAATGTTTGATTCTAGCAATAGAACAGAAGTATAATCATAGACTGGGATGTTCTGTAAATGTTGGATACTAGAAAATTATTTTTCATTTAATTTTTCCAAAAAAACGCGCCACATCTACAATGAATTATTGAATAAATATTCAGCACAGGAGTTAAATAATTTAACACCAAGCAGTCATAAACACCAAATGAGCCATAAACACCAAATCAGCCATAAACACCAAATGAGCCATAAACACCAAATCAGCCATAAACACCAAATCAGCCATAAACACCAAATGAGCCATAAACACCAAATCAGCCATAAACACCAAATGAGCCATAAACACCAAATGAGCCATAAACACCAAATCAGCCATAAACACCAAATCAGCCATAAACACCAAATCAGCCATAAACACCACATCAGCCATGCTTTCACTGGTGTCAACTTTTAGTATCACCATGGTGTGCGTTATTATACTTATAGTAAATTATTGGAGATTTAAAAAAAAATTATAATTTTATCTATTTACATACATAAAAATAAGCACGGTAATCGATCAAATGTGTTAACATTCTATTTTGAAGTCGCTTAGATTAGGAGGCTTAAGCCTACTTGGCTTATAGGGAAATCTGGTACATGACACGTTTGGTAATGTTCAAATATTGTATTTGTTAACACGAGTGTCAAGTGACGTCATTCAACTAATAAACTCACCAGATAATTTCTGTCCATCCGGCTTTTTGACATCGTCCATGCTATTTTTAGCTTCAGTGTACCACTGGTTAATGAGCTCTCTAGCTGTGAAAACATATTGAGAGTAAATCAAATGGTTATTGGTCACGTGATCCACCGGGCCCAGTCTTTACATGGTCCACCAGGTCCAGTGTTAACATGGTCCACCAGGTCCAGTCTTTACATGGTCCACCAGGTCCAGTCTTTACATGGTCCACCAGGTCCAGTCTTTACATAGTCCACCAGGTCCAGTCTTTACATGGTCCACTAGGTCCAGTCTTTACATGGTCCACCAGGTCCAGTCTTTACATGGTCCACCAGGTCCAGTCTTTACATGGTCCACCAGGTCCAATCTTTACATGGTCCACCAGGTCCAGTCTTTACATGGTCCACCAGGTCCAGTCTTTACATGGTCCACCAGGTCCAGTCTTTACATGGTCCACCAGGTCCAGTCTTTACATGGTCCACCAGGTCCAGTCTTTACATGGTCCACTAGGTCCAGTCTTTACATCTATTATTCACATTATCCACCAGGTCCAGTCTTTACATGGTCCAGCAGGTCCAGTCTTAAGGACGCCACTTAAGGACAAAGGACGAGTCCGACCGTGAGTTTTATAAAGATAATTGTAACTTAATTAATGTTAAAGAAACAGTGGTCAGATTGTCGTGGTCAGATTGTCGGGGTCAGATTGTCGTGGTCAGATTTTCGTGGTCAGATTGTCGGGGTCAGATTGTCGGGGTCAGATTGTCGTGGTCAGATTGTCGTAACAACTAAACCACGCCAACGTAAACAAATCTGTCGACAAAGGGAATGAAGTATTCTACCACTGATCTCCCTTGAACTCCAGGCAATGCATTGTCCCACACATGACATCGGTTTGTAATGTAGGTTTCCCGTCTCAACAATTTTATTGGCACACCTGTCAGCGATAGCACTCAGCTTTTCACTGAAACAGAATGTCTTAAAATGGGAAGGACAAACAGCTGTCACATTGTTTGATTGTATCTAAACTATCTGATGTAAACTTGTTTTATTTTATCTTAACTATCTGATGTCAACTTGTTTTTTGTATCTAAACTATCTGATGTCAACTTGTTTTATTGTATCTAAACTATCTGATGTCAACTTGTTTGATTGTATCTAAACTATCTGATGTCAACTTGTTTTATTGTATCTAAACTATCTGATGTCAACTTGTTTTATTGTTTGACCAGGGGCGCCAAAAAGTCTTTTTACTGGTCCGCCACAGGCGGCAATTTTATTTATACATTCATGGGGCGTCTCATTTGTTGGCTGTCAGATATGTGGTTGTCATGTCAGAGTGATGAGTTGTGTCATGTTAGAGTGATGAGTTGGGTCATGTTAGGGTGATGAATTGTATCGTGTCAGAGGAATGAGTGGTGTCGTGTTAATGGGATGATCTGTGTTATGTAAGAGGGATGAGTTGTGTTATGTAAGAGTAATTAGTTATGTGTTGTAAGTGATGAGTTGTGGCTAGGTTTAATTACATTTAGAACAGTGGCTCTCAACCTTTCTAGTGCCGCGACCCTTTAATACAGTTTGTCGTGTCGTGGCGACCCCCAGCCACACAATTATTTTCGTTGCTACTTCATAGAACTAATGATATGTGTTTTCAGATGGTCTTAGGCGACCACTGGAAAAGGGTCCCGCGACCCCCAAAGGGGTTTCGCGACCCACAGGTTGAGAACCGCTGCATTAGAAGAAAAAGATTTAACTATACAATTATAACCTCGCATTCATATGAAACATATACGGCATATGAAACATATAATGAATGTACCTCATATCCAGAGGCGGCACTGCATGGCGCACCCTGTACTCATTGATCGCGATAAGCGCTTCAGAGCGGAAGGCGAAATTGGGCGCATACAAATCTATCAGACTTGATCTCTGGGAAAAAGTTTTCGATTTCTCTTTTAAAACCTTCGAGTACAAATGATTTTGAACATTATAGATGATGTAAAAGATGTCATCTCATATTAGCCCTAATAGATGATATAATACATGTCAGTATCTCATATTAGCCCTAATAGATGATATAATACATGTCAGTCTCTCATATTAGCCCTAATAGATGATATAATACATGTCAGTCTCTCATATTAGCCCAAATAGATGATATAATACATGTCAGTCTCTCATATTAGCCCAAATAGATGATATAATAAATGTCAGTCTCTCATATTAGCCCTAATAGATGATATAATACATGTCAGTCTCTCATATTAGCCCTAATAGATGATATAATACATGTCAGTATCTCATATTAGCCCTAATAGATGATATAATACATGTCAGTATCTCATATTAGCCTAATATCTGTTCAAAGTAATAATGTCCTATCACGTATCAGTCAAGTACAAATCAACATTGTCTAATAATCTAATTTATACAGGCGAGGAAATAGTGTCTCGTTTTACAAAGCCAAGTCAAATATATCCATATGATTTGTTAACTCTCTCACAAGACGACCAGTTGGCAGAAGTGAGAAAGTCAATAGAGTGGGTATCAAAGCAAACAAGACGACCAGGTGGTAGAAGTGAGAAAGTCAATCGAGTGGGTATCAAAGCAAACAAGACGACCAGTTGGCAGAAGTGAGAAAGTCAATCGAGTGGGTATCAAAGCAAACAAGACGACCAGTTGGCAGAAGTGAGAAAGTCAATCGAGTGGGTATCAAATCAAACAAGACGACCAGTTGGCAGAAGTGAGAAAGTCAATCGAGTGGGTATCAAAGCAAACAAGAGGACCAGGTGGTAGAAGTGAGAAAGTCAATCGAGTGGGTATCAAATCAAACAAGAGGACCAGTTGGCAGAAGTGAGAAAGTCAATCGAGTGGGTATCAAAGCAAACAAGACGACCAGTTGGCAGAAGTGAGAAAGTCAATCGAGTGGGTATCAAAGCAAACAAGACGACCAGTTGGCAGAAGTGAGAAAGTCAAAGAAGTGAGAAAGTCAATCGAGTGGGTATCAAAGCAAACAAGACGACCAGTTGGCAGAAGTGAGAAAGTCAATCGAGTGGGTATCAAAGCAAACAAGACGACCAGTTGGCAGAAGTGAGAAAGTCAAATCAAACAAGAGGAAATATCGACAGAATTAAAGTAGCGTGAAAAAACTGCAATATGTAGCGAAGCACAAAGTTAAGATCACAGCATGAAGCTTCAAGAAAAGCCATACGATATAGATCATTTATATTACAATTCTGTTATTGATCCAAATAAAATTTATGGAAACTGGCAACCAAAAAAAAAACAAAACAAAAAAACACGTACATTAGCTGCCTTAAACATAACGTGACTTCTGATGTAACGGTAGAAGTAGAGGTAGACGAAAAAACCTTGAACAGGCTATGTTTCTAGGGGAAATAAATTGATTATTTTTATCCTTATATTTTAAGTCTACAGTGGATAAAAGATAAGTCTATAGTGTCTAAGTCGACAGTGGCTAAGTCGACAGTGGCTAAGTCGTCAGTGGCTAAGTCGACAGTGACTAAGTCGACAGTGGCTAAGTCGACAGTGGCTAAACTTAGTCCATAGGTGGGGACACTTGCCCTATTCCGTCACGAACTGAACGATCAAGTGAAACAATTTCTTGAGAGTTGAGATGATTATTGAAGTTGAAGAGTAGAAGTTGAGATGATCATTGAAGTTGAAGAGTAGAAGTTGAGATGATTATTGAAGTTGAAGAGTAGAAGTTGAGATGATTATTGAAGTTGAAGAGTAGAAGTTGAGATGATTATTGAAGTTGAAGAGTAGAAGTTGAGATGATTATTGAAGTTGAAGAGTAGAAGTTGAAGAGTAGAAGTTGAGATGATTATTGAAGTTGAAGAGTAGAAGTTGAGATGATTATTGAAGTTGAAGAGTAGAAGTTGAGATGATTATTGAAGTTGAAGAGTAGAAGTTGAGATGGGGGGGGGGATTGGGGGGAGAGGTGTTAGATATATGAAGACTGATAAATAGAACACAACAATTCCAGAAATATTTGTTTAGTTTAGCATTTCCTTCGTTAGAATCTTGTAGGATGTGAAATGAGTTAATGTTCTTGGTCATTTCCTTTCCTACTGGACTTAAACGCTTAAATGAGTTGACACCATATTTCTTTTATATTTTTACAGAGTGATTGCATCTTCACCCCCCTCTCCCCCCCCCCACCCCAACCCATTTTATTTTTCTATTCGAGCGGGCCTTTTCTGCTGGGTAGTTCTTCTATGCCTGTAATTCCCCATAAGTGTACAGTACTTACCTCCCTTGGATACTCAACTGACTTCTTGCCACACTTGGATTTTTGAGGAAGGAGACCATTGAAAATAGAAATAAATAAATTGTATCAATAATTTTTTAAAGTTAAATTGAAATAAGGATGATTACAAATGCCCAAATAAGTTTAATCAAAATATCGATGCTATTTAAAACGAACCCATTCAAATTGTGATTAGAGGCTACACTTAATTGTCTATTACAGAGTGTCCCGCACTTTTGTTCGTGGCCCGGTTATATTTACACTTTTCCTTCATGAACCTGTTAATTAATTTTTTTATTAACTTATTAATTTTTTTTGTTGCTTATCTGTGCAATAGGTAACATAAAACAGATTTTAATGTCCATAAAGTTTTGATACATTTCAATGTAAAAACATATGCTCTTACAAAAAAGTAAATTGCTAATAAAAAATGTGACATTTTTTAAAAAATTAGAAACTTACGGTTTGGAGACTGAATATGATAACTTAATTATCAGATAAAAACTATTATCGTGAATTTCTCCTTAACCTGTCTGTCTAATTATCCGCCTCTGTCTGCCACAATCGCAAATATCTCTGGGCTGACAATTTACAGTAAGTAAAAAAATGATCCTTAGACTGCCTAACTATCCTATACCGTGCTACTCTGGCAACAGACTGCCAAACTGTCCTATACCGTGCTACTCTGGCAACAGACTGCCTAACTATGTTATACCGTGCTACTCTGGCAACAGACTGCCAAACTGTCCTATACCGTGCTACTCTGGCAACAGACTGCCTAACTATCTTATACCGTGCTACTCTGGCAACAGACTGCCAAACTGTCCTATACCGTGCTACTCTGGCAACAGACTGCCTAACTATCTTATACCGTGCTACTCTGGCAACAGACTGCCAAACTGTCCTATACCGTGCTACTCTGGCAACAGACTGCCTAACTATCTTATACCGTGCTACTCTGGCAGCAGACTGTCAAACTGTCCTATACCGTGCTACTCTGGCAACAGACTGTCAAACTGTCCTATACCGTGCTACTCTGGCAACAGACTGCCAAACTGTCCTATACCGTGCTACTCTGGCAACAGACTGCCAAACTGTCCTATACCGTGCTACTCTGGCAACAGACTGCCAAACTGTCCTATACCGTGCTACTCTGGCTACAGAACAAACCGCCTTTGACTTGAAGGTGTTACTCAACAGAATTCCATGATATCCCACAATGTCCATTCTACTTACTCTTGGCCTGGAGATATCGGAGCCCATTCTGCCATATGACTTAAGTCATCACCATACGACTTAAGTCATCGCCATACGACTCAAGTCATTCTTTTATGAAGATATAAAAATAAATTTACTTTATTTTAGTCCAAGGAGGTAGCCCTACAAACATAGAGTTACTTTAACTTAGTCCAAGGAGATAGCCCTACAGCCATAGAGTTACTTTAACTTAGTCCAAGGAGGTAGCCCTACAAACATAGAGTTACTTTAACTTAGTCCAAGGAGGTAGCCCTACAAACATAGAGTTACTTTAACTTAGTCCAAGGAGGTAGCCCTACAAACATAGAGTTACTTTAACTTAGTCCAAGGAGATAGCCCTACAGCCATAGAGTTACTTTAACTTAGTCCAAGGAGGTAGCCCTACAAACATAGAGTTACTTTAACTTAGTCCAAGGAG